ACAAGCTAACATTTAGCTGCATCAGGGTTCTGTATTCAACGAGATACAGAGAGTATCCAAGAAGATATTTAGTATTCCCCTCCTCCTCTCTAAGCACAATTTAAACCTTTAGTAGTAGAAGAGAAGCTGTTACATGGATTCAGGCCACACCACACAGAGCTTTCTTTCCCAACAGCAACACAGATATGCCACAACTTAATCCCATTTGTCACATTAGGTAAACAGGCAGCTGTTCACGTGGAGAAAATTCAGTAGCAGGACCCTCAGTATCTGAACTAAAGTCTTCTATGTATTTAATAACCTGGGAAGAGGGTGAATAATGATGTAGCAGGTTTTTAGATTTCACAGGTTAGCTGAGGTTACAAGAAAGATGTGGGGACTTCAAAAGAGAATAAGTGTTGCTGGATGAGCACATAATGTAGCAGCCTATGGTTTTTTCTGATGGAAAAAGATAAAAAAGTAATACATCCTGTTGGATATAAATTTCACTGCACACATCCCAGGTACAGGGTGTCGCTGGAGAGAAAAAAAAAATCCCATCTCTGAGTTTATTATGTAGATAGTACAAGCAGGGTGAGAGTTTCCATTCACTTACACCCTAGCAGAATAATAAAATGTACTGGTTACTTAGCACAAACAGAAACATCATGCATTTAAAACTAACATGCATAAACAATAATTTCTGAAGGTAATGCAATGGCCATCTGGAACTTGGTGCGGTCAAGATGCATCCAAGCCCGTGCCTGGACATGAGTTTTAAAATTCCTGACCATTTCTAGATACCTGAATGTCATATCAAAGGCTAAACTGCCCTGCTTCCCCCCTCTGCAGGGAAACCAACATCCAAGTCTGCCCAAGTGCTCAGCACATCTCTGTCACCACATGATAATGAAGGTAATTATCAATAATAACAATAATGTGGATGTAAAGCTTCTCTGGCAGCTGGGGCTGCATCCAACACCAGTGTCCCTGGAGGCTGCATCAGCCCCCAGCATTACAGCACTGCCTGAAACCCAAAGGAAGGGAGAAGCCTCCACTTAGAGTCACAGATGGGTCTATTGGTCGCTTGTTGGCTACACTCTGGCAACTTGTTGGCAGCTGTGAACCTTTTGCATTACAACCAAGAAGATTTGATATCTTCTGTAATGTCCACTCAGGGCACCTGACGAGATTCTCTTGTGTTCCTTTATTGGTCCTGGCAGATAAAGAGCAGCCCTCTCTTTCTTGCCCATAAACACCAGACATGATGTAAACCCACCACTGGTTGTCCCCAAAGTGCTCAGGGTTGAGCAGACAAACTCCATCTGTTGTCAGAAGCTCCATTATGTGTAAGATACCTGATGCCCTATCACACCAGTATTTTTAATTAATCAGATGTTTCTCCACTGAGATTAAACTCTATGTACATTTCTCATTTACTCTACCCGGTACATGCTTATTAATTAGCATACTAATTTGCTTAGTTCTTTAGGAACTGTGTGCCAGGAAAAATGTTTTTTCTAAGTTGTCAAATGCAACTCATCGATTAGTGTAAGAAAGACACTTAAGAAAGACTAATTGATAAATATATCAGAGCCCTGATTAATTGGTGAAAAATCCAGCATGCTGCATTCTGCCATTCCTCCCTTTGTAATAAGATTCTTGATTTTTCCTTCTTTTAATTAAGAAAACCACAAGTAGTTGTGGAGGGTGTCGGTTCAATTTTCTTGTTATGCTTGAAGTGAAATCTACTTCATTTACCTTATTAGCTGAAAAGTAAGAAAATGAGCCTACTCTGTAAACTAGAATTTATCATTGGGGCTGAGAGACCCGATGTGGAACCTTAAAAGTAACTTCATCAGTCTTCTATTTATTATATGTATTTTTAAGGTTCCTTTCTGATTACATAAATTAGAAGTGACTTCTACAAATCTAGAAGAGATGTGCTGCATACCTTCCTCAGTACAGCATATGGCAGCTTTTGAAACAGCCCAGTGCCAAATTATGTAGAATGCACAGGGTAAAATATACAGAGTAAAAATGACTGAACATTCACAGTTATATTTCCAAGAAGTAACACTTTCCCTGCTCAGTTCATGGCCATGAACTCCAGGTACTCTCACAAGAATTCTGCTGATGTGTGAATATTTTCCCCCTTAATCACTGACAGTGGTTTGTCTACTACCAAGTAAAATAGAACATAAAACCTACGATTGTATATGTGTGAATTTCCTGATCTCTAGCCCTTAGAAAACAAGATAGTGTCCACAGTCCTCCCGGCTACTGTGGCCTCCAGAGTGTTTGCAGGCTGCTCTAAGGAGAACCACTTTTTAAAAAAAACTATGGCTCTAAGGAAACCAAGCCAAGGAATCCCACATTATACAAGAGGTCAGATATTGTCCTCAAAACCAGTGTGTGCAGCAGTGCAGAGATGCTACTTGGTGACACCAGATCAAACAGACTCAGGAATAAGTGATGGCTCTCCAAAGGCTGTCAGTTGTAATAACAGCATGTTGTGGCTCTGCCAGAAGCCTTTCCAGCTGCTGACTCATGTTGCCAAAAGAACTGGTCCACCAAGCTGAACATGATATATAAAATACCTGCCTCCCACCCCTGCCAAAGCTAAAAACAGCCATAGGACTCTGAAAAGCTGGATGCTTCCACGTGATGCTGAGGACGACACGGCTGTGTCTGGTCCAAGCCATATGTAGTGATGAGCGATGGGTTTAACCTGCTTTTCTCCTGTGCTCTTGCTCACATGTTTTGTTTACATGAACCATCAAATGCTGAGGTTGTTGATGTGGCCTAGTTAGTCTTGTATCCTAAATGATTTTTCTAGATGCTCAGAAAAGGCCATCCACATGTAATGGTGGATTTCAAGAGGAGCAATACCCTTGACACAACCTCAGTCTTTTTCCTTTGGTCCTTTCTCAGACATATCCAGTCAGGACATAAACTCGTGGGTATCAAACCAAGGGTTTTTTTTTTCAGGATGAATAAGGAAATAATCACTTGGGAGAGGGTACAGACTTTGTCTACTCCTTCTTCCCTCACTGCTGGAGTGGCACAGCCCTGGCTGCTCACGTCCACAATTTGTAGCTTAAATAATATAAAAAGGTGATTGCGCAGGGGTCCTACTCAAATCAAACCACGAGCTCCTCAGAGGCTCAGTTTTCCCCTAATGGAGCTTCTCCTCCTCCCCTCACAAAGCCTGAAGGCAACATTCCTGCTTTGGTCCAGCCTGAGGGAGCAGTGCCAGCACCCAGCACTGCTCCAGCAGCCTCCTCATTTCTCAAAGTATTTCCACAAATTTTCCATGTCTGTTCTGAAATTACAACTTTTGCCAAAAAATCTATTTATTATTGTTTGTCTGTGGAGAAGTGTTTGGGCTATCAACAGCTAATACTGGTGCTCTGGCAGAAAAGAGGGATAATTACAATTCCTCTTCAAATAAATGATATTTCCTTCCTGCTAAAGATGCAGGATGCTTTACACCTTTAAACGACCTCAAGTAATCATTTTCTAGGGCAGAACAGAAAATCCATTTCTATTAGTTTCCAAAGACCTTGAAAGTATGTATGTAGGAAGACCACTTCCATAAATTCACCTTTTTAGAGTCACTGGGTAACACAGAATTTATGCAAGTGCAGGTCAGTCACATAATTCAGTATTTATATGCTGCCTTTCAAGCTCCAGGGAACTGGAGTAAAAAGCTAAAAATAAAATACACATGTTGTAATACATACAAGATTTAGAGATGGAACTATTCTGACAGTTCAAAATAAAAGGCTTTGTGGAGAAGATCTCTATGGCTAGGTCTGTACCTAAATCATGTATTGATTTAACTCACTGTAGACAAGTTATATACATTTTTGAATGATGTATGCTTGATCAATGTGTTTTAGAAATTAATCTCTGTCGGACTTCATCATTTAGGCAAGTAAAGAAGTCAGATAAATATCACTACCTTTTACTTTATAGGACAGTAAGCCAATTTCTAATCAAATTTGTAAGTAAACAACATTATTTGTTTCCAAGAAATATCAATATTAAAATACTTTTCAAAGAAAATCTGAAAACAGACTTAAAAAAATGAATAATTGTTATCTATTAAACACACACAGATTATATCAATACGTGAGTATACAAACATGATGACCAGAGATACAGAGGAGAACAAAATACCCCTTTGTAACATCCAGGGAAGGAGAGACCCAGCATCACCACAAAAAAAAATTGGATTTGGAGTCTCAGCCAGATGAAAGTTTCATGTGTTTGATATTTTACTTCCTTGAAGTGCTAACAGTGATTCCTCACTGGAGTGCAGGAGCAATGCCCCACTTACTGCAAACACACCAACCCTAACAAGGTAGGGGAGAAATAAATGCTTACACCTAGACAAGCAGGCCTCTCAGTGTTTTAAAACAGAGAACATATTCTCAGGGTAGGGATAGGGAAACGGAGGCATGGAAAGGCAAAATAACCCCCTGGGAGGCACAAGGCAAGCTGAGGTACAAAGGCCAAGAGCAAAGGCTTTTATTTGAATGCCAAATCTGCTAGTGCAAACCTCCTTTCTTAACCACATTATTGCTCAAATCCCACTGATCATAGTGGGAGCTCAAGGACTGTTTCTGACCTGGCTTAATGTTGGTTCATTCATGAACAAGCTCCTCAGCTTTTCTTTAAGCTCTTGTGTCCCAGCACGATTTTGGGGCAGTCCAACCAAAAGGTAAAAAGCTGACTCGCTGTCGCGGATTCTCTGGGTGGCCTCAGCAATAAAAAAACCCCACAGTGTAACACCAATTCATGGGTCACTCCTGGCAGCACGAAAACAAGCTCTGCTCCCAGCAGAGAATGAACCTCAGCACAGACCCATGACCAAGTACACACTGATACACCCCAAGCCACAAGCACAGGAAAAAATCACAACAGGCAAAACACAAAAGGGCACAACAGGTTGCTGCAGCCTCAGGGGACTCCCTGCAAATCCAAACAGTCAAACAAGGAGGGAAGCCACTTACCGTACAGGACTGCAAGGAGCGACACGGGCATGACCAGGATACCCACCAGCATGTCTGCCACTGCCAAGGACATCAGGAAGAAGTTTGTGGCATTCTGCAACTTCTTCTCCAAGGACACAGCCATAATTACCAATATGTTCCCCCCAATGGTCAGCAGGATGACAACCAAGATCAGGAGGGCTGGCCAATTCTTCTCCCTCACGGACATCCGAGAGACTTCGCCCTTCTCAGAGGTGTTGAGAGGATCAGATGTGGGCAAACTCTGATTCAGAGTCAAGTTGCTGCTTAAGGACCAAGCCATCAGACCACCATGCAAACTAAAATCCAGTGTGACAGACACTGTCGTTAAGCTGAGCAATATTCCAGTGCTACTTAAAGTGCTCATTGTCTGGGACTGGTTTTTCTGTCTCTTAACCGTGCTTCAGAGACGAGCCCTTTTCCAAATTGCAGGTCCAAGGCAGATGCCGAACATTACAAAACCTGAGCCAGAAAATCATTTGATCTCCCATAGTGAAATAAACCTCACATAAGTTAGCGTGGAGCTCTTCTAGTTTCCTTGGGTGTGGTGGATGACAACCATTGACCAGCAACCTCGAGGGAAAGCAGACTTTGCAATCTCCAGCTTGTTTCCAAGTTCACCATTCTGAAAAGTCAATAAAAAGGATATTCTTCACTGAAATCACAGCATACACAACACCTTCTTTATCCCCCATGCAACTGACATTCTTATTCTTCCCCTTCCTGCTGACTAGGATGTTCTCCAGACTGCAAGTAATTTATCTGAAGGGTACAGACTACGTCTACAATTAGGGGGGGGCAGAGAGGGAGAGAATCACATCAGTGTGCTCTGGCTGGTTAAAAGCTGATTATCACTAATTAAATGTTTTGTGAAACCTGCAAAAGCGAGTTTGAAGAGCAAAATATGTTTCAATTGATAGCCACTTCACAGATACTCTGCTGCTGTGTAAAATAGTGATTGCATGAAATTCCAACCAATCCAGATAGCGTGGCCAAGCTCAGAGTATTCCATTACCTAAAATGGGAGGGTTTGTATATATTTTGAATATTCTGAGGTAAAATGAAGGTAATGTAAAAACCCTCAGATGTTAATGATTAACTCTCCTATAATAATAAATAACTATAGTTTGGTTTCTATCGGGATGTGAATGGTGGACAAGACACAACATGTATTAGGCAACATTATATGGTGCTTTGCTGTAAATCTCCTGAAACAAACAGACAACAAAGAGTTAAGAGAAAAGAAAGGACAGACTTTCATAAAAGCTGAGCAGTAATTTCAGTAAGCCTAGTCCCACCAGGCTACTGCCCAGCACGTGCAGCGCCAACACCCTCCACACACAGCCTGGAGGATGGACCTCCTCAGAGGATCTCACATGATTTGTGCTTCTTCACAAAGTAGCTGACAGTGAGGGCAAGTCTGATTACAACCCCTGACTGCCCACGGAACACAGGCCAGTTGGGCAAGTTAAAGGTACCCTTGACTTCAGGCAGGTACCTAAACCCACTGAAGCTAAGGGCACGTTTTCCTAATCCTGGCTAAATACATCCTCAGGAACTCAACCTTTTTGACTGCCAATCCTGTACAACTGATGAAAAACAGCAGCTTTGCTTTGCATTTCCACTGCATTGGAGTCAAGACCCTAAAAACCATGTGCAGCACAGGGCTAAAATCACAGAAGGAAAGCACAGTGTAGTAGAACAATGTATGGAAGCCGACTAGTAAGTAGAATAAAAACAACAGCATGCACCTTATTTTGAGCATATCCTCAACTTTATGTTTAATCCACAGGAAAAGAGTTTCTATCACTGTTAAATAAATTACTAAATAAAAGCCCCATTTTAGCTGTTGAATGCAATGTTGGCACACATGTGACACAGCAATTTGCTATCCAGGATCAAAAGCTAAAAGTAATTCATGGGATTACATTAGGTTTTATGTAATGTAAGAAGTGCTCAGAGTCCTATAATAAAATGTTTAACATTCATGAAGGTTTTGGAAACTTGCTAATGGGCTTTGTGCACAAAACCATTTCTTAAATGAGCAGTGCATACAATGAACCCAGATTTGCTTCTGCATTATGGTTAATTAGTCCCAGAGGGTCTCTAAGCCTCATATTTAGGAAGAAGTTTTGCACTATGGGCACAAAAAGTAATTTTGCAGCTGCACATTTCAGATGAATTAGCAAGTGGTCAGTGGACCATTTATTTTTTCCAACTTAGCTGGTCTCAGTAAAAAAAAAAAAAGTCTCTAGAAAGTTTCTAAATACTTCAGAGTATTTTTCCCAGAAGACAGCTTTTACTTTAAAGCTGTGATGACAATTTTTCCAAATCACCTTTCCACAGGGAAGGAGACACCAGGCAGCTTTCTGGCACTTGAGCTTTGCTGTGCAGGACACCTCCATTAGAGCCAGAGGGAATTTCTGGGTCTCCAGAAACTCTCTTTGGTTCCGTGACTCTCGAGCACTCTTTGTCAGGAGAAGCAGAAATTTCATGCCCAAACATGAGGGCATAGTCAGACAGCAGGATGCTCAGTCTTGGTCTTACTTCTTCCCAGGTCTGAGTTCCTGGAGGTTTTAGACAAGGTGATGCTACCTCAGCTCTTACCAGAGATGTGGATGAGTTTGATGCTCCTGGCACAGGCCAGCTAGGGCTGCCAAAGGAACAAAGGCAGGGCATGCCTTAACTCTAAATCATAAAAACAAACAAATAAAAAAACCCCACACAAAACCACACCACAAAAAAAAAAAAACCTGCAAGATAAGGTTTCTGAATTAAAAGTGCCTATTTTTTAAAAGTATTTATTTTTACAATTGCTCAGGACTGAGTTCTGAAATGATTAGTAGGGTCATTCCCTCTTGCATTTTGCATATTCATTTTGAAAAATCATATGTGGGAATTTGACTACAGCAATGCTCAAGATTGGGCTCCACCCTCAGAATTAACTGTGCTACTGCTTTGCTAATACTTTTGTTATTATTTTACACAGATCCTGGCTTGAAGTCATCAGTTTTCTTTCTCACTGCATCTCCCAGTCTCCACAAGGGAAAACTTTATGACTTATTCCTTCAGCTACAGTCTTCTAAGCACATCACTGTACCAGAAAAATAATTCACATTTTATTCATGAATTCTGCATTTATTTGAGAACTATCTCCATAATTTTAAATTAAAACGTGCCCATCACAGATTTTTTTCCAATAGCTAACTTCAAAGCACACATACTGAATTTTGTGGTCAATCATCAATTCCAGTTCAACCTACTACTGACAGTCCTTAAAATTATAATTTAAACATTCAGCCAAACCAAGTTCTTTTCTATGCCACTCTCGCTTTTTGATATAGCAGCGCAATGAATTCTTTCAGCACATTCTTCTCCTTCAGTCTTTAAGTCCAGTTTAAAATAAGCTAAAGGTAGAAAAACATTTTTGTTTATCAATAAACACATGAATTATTTAAAGCTGAGATTGGCATGCTGAAGTTTTCAGGTATTCCAGGGGGTTAAGGTGAAGGGAAAGAAAAACTACAATGGTTCATGAGTCTGTACTGGTGGGACACTGAGGGAGGGGCTCACATGCTTTTGTGAGTGTTTACCACCATTACACTTGCTAAAAGGAAAAAAACCAAACCTTTCTTGGAATAAACACAGTTATTTTTTTCTCTGAATTAAATGCATTCATCTTTAGTTGTTTTACCCTTCAAAGCTCAGGACATTTTTTCCTGGAGAAAATCAGCTGCCTGCTGAGAACTCGAGACGTTCCCCAACCCCCAGCCAGAATCCTGCCTCTCCTAGACAGGCTGCAGAGCTCCTGGAAATCATTTAATAAATCTCTGGGACTCACACCCTGCATGTTAACAACATGCATTTGAAACTGGGTAAGAAAGCAAGGATTTTCAGTTTAGCCCCAAAAAAAAGATCCTGAGTCTCAGGCAGACGGAGAATGATACATTAATTCATGGTAGGTCTTGCTGTAAAAAAACCCCAACCCCCAAAGTACTTCATGATCAAAAGCAATGACTTTCAGCAATTCCTTCCCCACAAGAAAAACAAGCAACATCCAGTGGCATCAAAGGTACAAAGGCCATATGCAAGAGCTATTTTTTTCCCTCCCAAGCTATTGGCAATATCCAGTTCTCCAAGTCGCATTCACATCTCATCAATAAGCAGACGAAAGCCAACAAGTTTTTAGAGATCAAACAGTTTTAAAGGTAAAGTTTTTCCTTTAGCCTTGGCTTTGATGGTAGACCTCCATCAGGGACAAAATAAATCTGAAGTTGACTAAAGTGAACTGCAAGTACTGCAATTTTTGTCAGGAAAACAGTTGCAGATAGTTCACAACTATCTGAGCCAGACAGTCAGCTGACATAAATTTTTATAGCTCCATGAAGGCCTTTTCAAAATGGCAAATAATTTTAAATTATATAATAGGATACAGGATTTAGGCCCGAGAAGGCAGATTTAAGGCTTCATTCTTCACTCAAAACTCTACTTTTCTTGCTATTTGCATCTTTACTAATTTATTTGTGGAATCCATTGCCAAATTCATTTCCATTTTTCTTTGGAACAGAAGGTTGCTTTAAAATACATCTTTTCATGGCAAACTTGCAAGGAGCCTTTTCATTTTAATGATTGAATAAAATCATATTTTTCTATTTACAGAATTCTGTATTTTAGGCAGGTTTTTTTAGCAGTACTGAGAAACATCCCTATTTCTGTGCAGTTCTATTTTTAAACAGAGTGTGAGAATGGAGCAAGTCCAACAGAGATGACCAAGGTGATTTGGACTGAAGCACATTAAATACTGGGTTTGATTCAGCCCAGAGAAAAACAGTTGAACAGGGATGTGTTTGCTGCCTACAGCTCCCTGGCAGTGCTTACAGAGGAGACAGGGAGACTCTTCCAGAAGCTGCACAGCAAAACAATCACAGTGATAGATCTAAGGAAATCATGTATAAAACAGGAAGAAAACAGATAAAAGGAGTCACAGTGGGAAGGGTCAGACAAGGGAAGTGGGTCACAGAGAGACTGCAGGATCTCCATCCTTGGAGATGCTCAAAACACAGCTGGGGATTGCTCCCAAACACCCCATCTAACTTTGAAGTTAGTTCTGCCTCCAGCATGGGGTTGGACTAGAGACCTTCAAGAGGTCCCTTCCAGCTTAAATCATCCTATAACTGGATCAGAAATGTACTAATGAGCAAAGCTGTCCAGCCTAGGGGTGCTTTCGAGCTCCTATCCCTGGATACAACCCCTGTGTTTGTCCCTATTGCTCAAGCACAGGATAAGACCAGTACATCCTCTCCCCTTTGGTTTTCCCAAGGCCAGAAATAAAATCTGCATGCCCAGAGGAGAAAACACACCTGTGAGGACCCCCAGCCTGCCTGAGGGAGCAGGGCCTTACAGCTGCACCAACACACGCTCCTGTCACACCAGAGAGATGCACACACCGGTGACAAGTCCTCACCTTCGACCACCTCCCGAGGCCACCTGTGTCTAAGGAACCTACAGTTCAAGACTATTCCGAGAAGCGGCAATTTTGGAAAGCCCCAATTCATTTTAGTCCCTTGGTAGCATCAGGAGATCTTCCTGCCTTTGGAAAGCAGTGTTTACACTGTCAAAGCAGAGGCACACCTTCCCAGCCACTGCAGTGGGAAAAGAAAAATCAAAACTTAATGGTTATTCTGCAGATACCAACTTCTAAGTTTGCTGCAGTCCAGAGAAGTGGTTATGCCCAATCTAAATATTTTCCTGAGCTACCCTTGAACTTGGGAACATGCTATTAGCACTTTGTTTAGGGACTTTCCTTCCAAGGAAGAATTTGATACTTGTTTTTCAGTTTTGCAAGAACTTCTGGAAGTTTGCCCAACAGGTATTGGGGATAAATCAGCATAAAAAACACTTAATAAAACCTTAGGGAAACCTCCCCAAACACAGTTTTCCACCTATTTTTTATTTCCTACACAGAAAATAACTATTTAATTACTTGCAAACTAAAAAAGAATATTTCATTTTTTTTTTTCACAGCAAGAAGAAAATGGATTTTTGCAGACACAAGCTCAAGTATTGATATTTTTTAGGGTCATAATCATGAATCACTAGCATTCTGTCTAAAAACCAAATAGCATCAATTTCCCTCTCTGTATCTTCCCTCATCCCGAGTCAGAAAGGCATTAATTTCTTTTCCAGAAATTTCAAGGCAATACAAGCACACAGAGAGATCTTAATCTACCTTCTGGCAGTAAGACTAGCATCCTTTTTATTTTCCCTTTGTGGCAGAGCACCTGAGAACCTCACAAGAAGATGTAGATACTCTGCCACTCCCTGCAATGATAAACTTGCTCTCTTGGCTCAGACATACAGAAATCCCCAACAGAATAAATCTGAATCTCATCACATACTGTCCTAACTTTTGGGAATGGTTACACCCTAGGTTTTCATATCTTCTATGGGTAGATATAATTCCAAACTGCCTCTCTGCTTTTTTTGTTTAGTTTTTTTTTTTTTTAATTAATACACGTGTCCCCAGTGGCTGAAATTCACCTGCTCAAAAATACCAGCTGAGCATCCCTTGGTCTCCTTGGCAGATGTATTCTTGTATTATTATTTGTATTATTATTATTGTGTTTGCAATATTTACCTGTCACTGCACGCGGAGTTAATAGTGAATTAAAATTTGGATTTTGCTTCATCCTTATTGATAAATAACTGAAAGCATTCAATAACAGCATTAAAAAGACACCTCACTATGGGCATTGGCTAAGGATGGAATGGTGTCTGGGGTGAAGCAGCACCTCATTTCTATACCAGTGATTGTCCTCACTCTCCCTTCGCAGTGCATAACAAGCCTTGTTATAAATCTGGTTTGTTAAGGAGATAAGGATGCACCCAAAGACCCCCTGATGAAGGTCAGACAGCCTTCACTGCCACTTCAGCAGATAGAAGAGGACCAAAGTGTTTATTCTGCCTCTTGTGTCAACTATAAATTCTGACCAAAGGTAACCACAACCCTCATTAAGCCTTATTTGCATATTCACTTTCACACCCCTAGGAATGCAAATTATGAGTACATCGTTCACCAAATGAGTACAATCAGTCACCAAAACCCACCTATCACATGTGATATTTCCACCCTTTTGGGAAGGGACAAAAATTATTGCATAAAAGAAGAGGAGTTTTGAGACAAGAGAAGAGAGAAGAGAGAAGAGAGAAGAGAGAAGAGAGAAGAGAGAAGAGAGAAAAGAGAAGAGAGAAGAGAGAAGAGAGAAGTTTTAAAGCAAGTTTTAAAGCTAGGCCTATTTAAAAACCAGAAGATTTTCAGCAGGTTTTGCAGCGCAGTGCTCTATCCCACTTGTGGTTGAATTTCTTCATAATTTTAAGTTACCATATATATGGCATTTGTTACCAGTACGTGTGCAACCATAGGAAAACACACCTAAATACACACATACATCTAAATAAAAAATAATCATGAAGCGATTTATTTTCAATTTATGTTTTAAGGGAAATCTCACATACAGTAATAATGAGTTTGATTTACAACAGTAATATAGAGCAGCAGTCAGCCTGGAAAGGAAGAACACGGGTATTCACCAGCCTGGATCATGAGTCACAGCATAATGTACACACACCATTACACAAAACACATGTGCCCAT